AGCAGAGCTTTTCCCCTCAAGGGATCAGATTTTGGAACTAGAACGTCAAATAAGATCAGTGACCATCTTTTTTATTTTATTTTTTTATTTTTGTTGGTCATGGGGCCTGAACTCTGGGCCTGGGCGCTGTCCCTCAGCTCTTCAGCTCAAGACTAGCGCTCTACCACTTGAGCCACAGTGCCACTTCCGGCTTTTTCTGCTTATGTGGTGCTGAGGAATCGAACCCAGGGCCTCATGCATGCAAGGCAAGTGTTCTACCACTGAGCCACCTTCCCAGCCCTCAGTGACCATCTTAAGGGGCCCGCTCACTCTCTTTTCCTCTGTTAATGCTTTATCCTGCCGATGAATACATACTGACCAGCTCTTGCCCTGGCTTAATGCCTCCAAATAGTGACTGGAAATGCTAATGCTAACGGACCACCCCCTCAATGGCAGGACACGTAAGAAAGACCCTCTTGAAATAAAGCGCAAATGATCACAAACAGCCCAAACTAGATAAGAGGATCTTTGTGGACAGAACAAATAAAAGGGCTTTTAAGGGTGGGAGTGTAGATGGGTGGGTAGCTGGATTTTTTTTTTCCCTCAGGCATTCCGTAGGGGAAGATATCAAGAAAACACAAAATTGAAAGAAAGATGGAGGTGGATGTCAGAGGAGATGATAGGGGAGCCGAAGAGGGGGAGGGAAGAGAGGCTTCCTTTAGGAGACAACGTGACAGCCTTACCATCTATGTTTTTAGAAGTATGTCCCATCGCTAAGAGGCAATCTCTCTACCTTGTGACCTTTGTTTTCTCTGCCCCATTTTACAGTATCTCCCTTCACCAACCTCTGTAATGGCTCAGTGTTTACCCATCATGGGTCTGAATGCCTTCCTGGCCTCCATAGTTTATGTGGCTCACTACCTCTTTCTCTGTTCCATGCTTCCCTCTTCTCTTCCTTACTTCTTTTAGTCCTCTCTGTCCTCCCAGACTTTGTTTCTCTAGTCTTCCTGCCTCCTTCCATTTCAGTTCTTTCCCCTACTGCTCCCCCTCCTCCTCGCCTCCCTCCGGTCCCTTTTCCCCTTTCTTTCTTTTCTCCTCCCTCTTCCTTCCCTTCCCTTTCCCCTTTATCCTTCGCGGCCCTCCCTAGCCTTCCCTCTCTCCACATTCCCATCCCTCTATCCCCTAGCCTTTTTCCTTTCTCTCCTCTCTTCCCTCTCCCTCCCCCCTTCTCTCTGTCCAGGTCCTTGTTTGTCTGTAAGCTCCAATTTCTTGCCTTATAGATTTACCTGCAAAACAAGACACTGCTCCTCTTGCAAAACTGTTTAAGGGATCCATATTCTCTCCTTTCATTCCTGGGGCATTTCAGAAATGATATTCCTCCCCCATCTACCCCCGTCAAAATAAAATGAATCCAGTCAGCTCCTGCTGTGTGTCCTTAAATTCATTCCCTCTAGCTTCGCTGGTTTGAAAGCCTGTACCCTAGAAGGGGCCTCCTGCATTTGCTGGCAACCCTGCTTGAGTCTGATCGCCACAGATAGTGCTTTGGAGTGAAAAAAAAAGGGGGAAAAACCCTCTCGTTGGAGATTTCAAAACAGATTCTACCAGCTTTCAAATCTGTGCACTTGCGGAGTGGCAGGGTTTGAGGGAGAGAGGTTGAGGACTTTGGGGTGTGGGTGTTTGTCATAAACAAATAAGCAACAGAATTTATATATGTATAAATTTGGGCTTCCCTTGTCTTGTTTGGTGTCTTTCTCCCTGGCATGGAGTGTGGGTGCTGTGTAAGTCTGACTTCTCTCACACTTTTGCTGGGGTTTGGGGTGTGTGTGTGTGTGTGTGTGTGTGATGGAATTGAGGAGGGGGGAATGCTGTGTTTTTGATCTGATTCACTTGACAGATTATTTGAATCCAGCCCACCTTTCCGCACACGTCAAACAGATGGGATCATTGTTAAAAGCCTGGAGAGCCCGGGCTGAGCAGTGGGTAAGACAGGGAGGGGGAGGCAGGAGGGGCAACCGAGGGGAGGGAGGGGCACCTTCCAGGAGCTTTGTGTTTTCACACATTGGAACTGACAGGAGTCCTTCTTGCCTGTGGGTGGGGGAGTGTTTGGGGGCATGGGGCTGATGGGGGGGGGGGATGGAAAGGGAGAGAGGTGGGGTGTTGGTGGGCAGGGTTATGATGTCACAGCCAAAGTTACAACAGGAGGAAAACACAGAAATGGTTCAACATTTTTTTTTTAAACTTTGGGCTGCCAAGAGCTGAAGGAGAGTGGTGAGCAGAGGAATGAAGGGGAGAGAGAGAAACTAAACTGGAAGCTTGAGTTTTGTGTTGCCTCTTGAAACCTTATGAATGGATTACTAGCAGCTGGGAGCCAGGAGAGACCTATAGGGGATTCAAGATCACTTACACAGTAAAAGGGGGAGAAAAGCAGGCGGAATCCTTCTTTCTTGCTGTGTATTCCCTCCTTCCTGAAATGAATGGTAGGAATCCTTTTTCTGAGGGTCCTTGGGATGGCATGTGGGGAGGAGGAAATGGATTTCTCCTTTTCTTACCTGTCTTCCCGTTCTTAAATAAGGCTCTTCCCTCCCTTCTCTCTCTCCTCTTCCTTCCTTTGCTTTTCTGGTTTTCTCTATATAACCCCCCCCCAACTCTCAGCCTCAAATTTTATTCATAAAAGAATTGAGTCAGAAAAGTGAGGAGATCTAAGGCAATGACACAAGAAATGGACATTCAGGGGCCGAAGGCTAGCTGCTTAGTAATATCCACGTGTTTCTTTGGGGACTGGCCTTGAGGCTCCAGAAGATGCTACGTGGAGAAACAGCACGCTGGGGACAGAGGGCATAGGGTACAGAATTTTTAAAGCAGATAAGTCAGTCACTGGTTGGGGAAGTGAAGTTTAGAAGATAATGAGAAGATCTAAAGCAGGGGAGACAGTGTGATCTGGCCCCAAAGTATGTATGTGCACAGCATGTTGTAGATGGGCGGCAATATAAGCACTGATCTTAAAAGTGGAAATAATTTTTTTTACTACTTGAAAGAAGATTCCAGTAGATTTCTCTACCTGTTTTCACCACCTGGGGTCAAATATGCTTGTGTTGAGAATTCTGAAGCATGCTGTATATGTGTTTTGTGTATGTGTGCACGTGCACGTGTGTGTGCATTTGTGTACACACACATGCAGGTAAAGGATAGGGACACTTTTAGAAAACTAGCAGCTAGCACCTGATCAAACAGCACAGTGGGTAAAGTCACAGTATCAGTTCCTTATTCTAACCATTCATTACAAGTCAATTAGGGAATATACTTGCTTGACTTTCCATGTTCAGTTTTGTAAATGACTTATTTTGAACATCTCAATTGTTTATTTGCTCATTCAGCATATGGTGACTTTTACTAACTTCAGATTGAGAAACTTCTTAGAAAAAACAAGATCTCTGTCCTATGAATGCCTGGCATTTCCATTTACTGCTCTTCACAGTAGGCTAATTGATTTCTTCTTTCCTCTTTATGTCCAATAGGAAGTGAATCTGGATTCTTGTTCTTTTAAATCTGAAATGATTGAAATCAGAAACAATACCTAATAGTAACAAGACAAAACAAAGCAAAAAATTTGCAAATGGTTCCTAAAGAGCTAGTATAGGCTTATTAAACAAGTGTGTGTGTGTGTGTGTGTGTGTGTGTGTGTGTGTGTGTGTGTGTGTGAGAGAGAGAGAGAGAGAGAGAGAGAGAGAGAGAGAGAGCGTACAGAAAAAGAGTGCTCCAAAACAGTATTGATTGTTTGTTATTGATTGTGTAGGCTGCGGCTGCTGGAAGAGAAAGCCTGAGATGTTTACTGGGCAAACCAAGAGCATCCTCTGTCCCCTTCGCTTCAGTGAGGTGGGGAGGTTTTCAGGAAGGGAGGAGGGGACAGGGAGTAGGTGGAGTGAAGCACCAAACTTATTAGCTTTGACATCATCATTGTCTTTAAATGAGACAGACAGGAAGATAATTACAGGCAGAGAGACAGGGAGAGAAAGGGAGAAGGGGAGCAGGGGAGACTGCTGGGACAGATCCCTTGAACTATGTGGTCTTTTTTCTCTGTTTTCATCTTTGCAGGGACCCACGAGGCTCCCAGGAGGTGAATTCAAGGGCTCTCAGCCTCATTTGGTCAAGGGAACAGCAGACAGGCAACCCAGAGGAGAACTTTACAGAGACTTCCAACATACCAACAAGTTGGAAGGGGATTCAAAAAACCTTCAGCAATCAACAACCCCAGGCACCAAGCTGAGGGGAACATTCTAACCTGCACTGGCAATTGGGAGCTGGATGAAGCGCTGGCTGGGGACTTCGGGAGAGTGAAAGTTAAGTACCAGCTTGGATGTTTGTGCCCCTAGATTTTTTTTTTTTTTTGCCTTTTTAGATAGTAAGTGTCCAATCGTCTGTCTCTGTAGAAAAGTTTTTTCTAGCAATTTGATTCCAGCTGAGCATACTTTTGGTTTAAGAGTGACAGGAAAAGAAGGAATCTCCCAGGGAAGGAAGGAAAAGAAAGAGAGGAGAATTGGAGAATAAGATCACTTTTGAATGACTTCAGGTAGCAGAGCGTTGTGTGCTTGTGAGTGTGTATTTGAGAGAATTTGGCTAGTAATCATAAGCTTCCTTCTGTAAGGAAGGGAGGAAGGAAGGAGGAGGAGGAGGAGGAGGAGGAGGAGGAGGAGGAGGAGGAGGAGGAGGAGGAGGAGGAGGAGGAGGAGGAGGAGGAGGAAGAAGAAGAAGAAGAAGAAGAAGAAGAAGAAGAAGAAGAAGAAGAAGAAGAAGAAGAAGAAGAAGAGGAAGAAGGAGGAAAGAAACCTGAGCTCTTTGGGAGGAAATTCAAAGGAACTAAGATAATTAACTCTATTCTTTAAGGACTAAAATACAGAGAGGTAGAAGGCAAGGGCCGAGCCAGCACACAGTGGGTAGAGAAGGTTCTGGCAGCGTTTTCCTGCACAGGTAGCCAGGAGAGGCTCTCTTCTGGGGGCTCCTTGAAGAAGTTTAGTTGGTGAACTAAACAGTTTCCCTGGTGACTGCAAATCCATTACTAGCTGTCTCTTCCTCTTCTCATCATTGTGGTGTGGTACCCAGAACTTGATTTCTGGCTCAGTGGGAAGAATTGAGGGAAGTATGATGTATTTCAAGATCCTGAGAATCAGCCTGGTGATCCTGGCTGGGTGGGTGTTCAGCACTGGCAGCTCTGAGCTGCATAGGACATCCAAGAAACCCTTGGCTCCCAGGTCAAGCCCGAAGCAGGTGCAGTTGGAAGGAGAACGTTGTTGGCTGGGGACTACATCTCAAAGACCCAGATTTGCTCCTCAGCATCACCCCTTTGGGGTCTATCCCAGAAGACATGGAAATCATCTGAGGCCCTACCCAGCCAGGGAACAGAAAACCCATCAGGCAGAATACAGTACACCAGTGACCCTGGGACCGGCTGGCAGCCTTGATCCCCAAGACCCGACTGACAGACCAGCAAGAGCCAGGAGCGAGGCTGAGCAGCCTGCTGACCTGTGGGTACAAGAAGGTCCCATTGGACAAGCAGAGCTGCTGACAGATGATGGCACTCATCTGGACAACAGAAGATTCCAGGTGACTCTAGGTGAGCTTGAGACAGGGGGAGGCTCGGCCTCGGCCGCCTCCCTTCCCACCACCACCTTTACACCCCTGGAGGAAGCCCAAGCAGAGACGCAAAAGCAGGACTCCCCCATGTCCCCACAGCCTCACCAAGTAACCAAGAGGCAGGTAGAGCAGGGACCCGAAGAACCCCACGTCGCTCCTCCACGCTTCCACCTGTGGCCTAAGCACCTCTTTAGGTATGGGGTTCGAAACCATCCCCTGAAGGACAGCATCCAAAACGGTGGCAGGAGCCCTGGCAGGGAAGAGGACACCTCTAACCCCCAAGGAGGACTGCCTGTCTTGTACTTCTCTGGGAGGCGGGAGCGGCTGCTACTGCAACCAGAAGTCCTGGCTGAGAGTCCTCGGGAGGCGTTCACTGTGGAAGTGTGGGTGAGGCCCGAGGGAGGCCAGAACAACCCAGCCATCATCGCAGGTAATCGCCAACTTCTGGGCTTTTAAGAAGTTCGGGGGCCGGGATGGGGTGGGGCTGGGGGGCTGGAGTGAGATGTATGTGGGGGGGTACTGGCTCCAGGTCTGCTTGGGTTAGACATAGGGAGCCAGGAGGGGAAGGGGAAAGAGCTGGCAATCCAGGGAGGAGGAAAGGGGAGGGGGGAGAAGGGCTTTATGTATTCACACATCAGTATCCTAGGCACCATTTTAGGGAAGATAATGACTCATGAACAATACCAACGGTGCGGTCTACATATCCATATCATGTTGTTCTGTAGGTTCCTCATTTGTGGGAGACCTCCAGCTCAGCTTTCTTATCTTATTTAAAGGGAAAAAGTTCTAAGGGTTTTTGTCATCCAAGAGGAAGGGATTTCAGGCTCTTTCTCATGGTCTAGTATGATGGGACATCCAGGCAGTTTTGAACTAGAGGAGAGTCTGAAGACCTAGGCAGTGACTCATGCCTGGGCTGGTGCAGGCAGGGAGGCCACAGGATGCCAGCTACATAGTCACTGGGTTTTGACCGGTTGCTTGTTCTCTGAGCATCTCTGGAACTAGGTAGTAAGGCAACACCTGTTCCATTTTCTAGATCACCTTCACTTTGTCCCAACCGTCACTCATATGGCCAGTGGGTGTACTGGAAAAGAGGCACTCGAAAGTCAGTTTTCTGGCTTCTAGTCCTAGCTGTTGTAAGAGATACTTAAGATGAATCCTGGTAGAGAACTCCGTGCTGTTAATCATTGGCCCTTACCTGGGCATCTTATCTGCATTTATTTTTCCTTCTCCCTTGAGCTTTCCTTCTATGGAAAGTCACCCGGAAGGGCAAAGAAAAAAGCGTGATCAGGAGTACCTGTTTCTTTTTGCCTTCTGGAGGAGGTTGATTTCAAACACGGGAGGAGGGATTGGAATTCATATTTTCCATTGAATGTCTATTCATCCCTTTGTATCCCTTATATCAGAACTGTACACAAGGCAAGTAGAACCACTTCATCTTAGTTGGGATTAGCCTCAATATGCTGTGATGTTTGCTGGGCCCATTACATTGATGAGGAAATTGAGACAATGAGAGATGTGTTAGAGGCAAGTTTGACAGAACTCTAAGGCCCCTGGGTTGCTTGACAAGTCTTCCAATTAAACACTTGTCAGATTACTGGATGCCTTCAGATAACTTTCAGAGGAAGGACAGAAATCAGGAAGGAAGGAGGCTTTTCCAGTGGGGTGTTGCTGGAACATCCCTTCCGGACACTCTGTCTCCCCTTCTTTGGCTGTGATTTCTTTGGAAGCTGGGATTCCCAGACACTGAGCACTCTTGAGTCTTGTGGTTTTGCTCTATTTTATTTTTAGGTGGGAGGGGGAGAAGGAAAGGGGAGAGCAAAGGGGCTGGGCTGGAAGTTAGGTCGAGGCAGAGAAAGAATCGAAGGAAATCCTTATTCTGGGGCCAAATGGAAGAATTAATGAGATGATTTTCTGTTCAGAGTTGGCAGCTTCACAGTTTTTTCCCAGATGACATCTTCTTTCTGCTTAAACTTGCTTCCTAGGACCCATCTGCCAGGGAAACTGGATGCTTGCTGTCTAGACACACATCCACTACTCTGCTGACCTCTACCTCTTGCAGAAGCAACAATAAGTACCTAGAACAGAGTCTAGGAATTAGAGAAAGATTTAATAGGGTTATATGTGAGAGGTTTTGTCTTTTTGCTTCTGTTGTTGCTGCTGCTGCTGTGTTTTTGGTACCAGTATTAGGACTTGAACTCAGGGCCCAGGCACTGTCCCTTAGCATTTTGCTTAAGGCTAGTGCTCTACCACTTGAGCTACAACTTCACGTCTTAATTGGAGATAAAAGTCTCAAAGACTTTGCTGCCTAGGCAGATTTTTGAACTGTGATCCTCAGACCTCAGCCTCACTGGTGTGAACCAACAGTGGTACCTGGAGGCTCTGTATTTTTAAAGCCCAGATCTAAGAAAGAGATTCAAGACCATTGGTGCCTGGGTCCTATTTTGCACCCCCCCACCATTCTTCTATTGCATGCTCTGCCCAGAGAAGAGTAGTGCCATGATGTGATTCCAGTTCTTTTCTGCATCACTTACTCTCACCCCATGAGCCTGCCTGCCTGCCTCTCCCAGCTGTCCATCACAATGAACGGTCCCCACACTGCAAGAACACACGTTCACATCCTTCTCCTAAGCACGCATATGAAATCTCAAAACCCTTTTCAATCAGGCAGGGACTCTTTTGCAGATAGTCTATCTGCTGGCATTTTTTTCTTTTCTTCTTTTAGTTTTTAAACCCAAGTGGCCCCTATGATGCTCTGGGATTTCCCCTTTAGAGATGTCAGAATTCTAGGAACATCTAGGGAAGAGACCACCCAGGCCTAACTTCCTCACCTTTCCCTCTGTAATTTTCTCCAGTTTGCACACACCGGGAAGCATTTAAGAAGGATTTAGGGTAAAAAATCTGTGAGAGAAAGGGGCTGCAAACAAGATCTCCATTCTTTGAGATTCCAGTAAGAGGGCTTCAGGGAATTTAACTATCTTTTGCCTACTCATTGTCTTAGTTGATGACATTTAGACTCCATAGACCCCATGCTGGGGCCACAAGGTTGCCAAAGCAAGTCCTCTTGAGGATAAGGTATCCCAATTGTAGTAATTTATTCAGACCCACTGACAGCCCATCTTTACTCTCACCCTGCTACCAGCCCTTGGGCACTCACCACTTGTTTTTCACGGATCCAGTATGACAATGGAGAATCCAGACCCTGGGAGTTAGATATTTGAAGTGGAACAGTTCTGCTACTCTACTAATGGCAGAGCAAGGTGCTGCTCCAAGACTTCACTCCCACACCCTTCCAGAAGCTCTCATTCTTAATCTTTCATCCACTCCAATTTCAAAATTCTCTATCTACCAAACGTGGCTTCTTTTCTCTTCAGCAGAGGACTCAAGCAATTCAACCATACCATTCACTATGGGGGAATCTCTTACCCTAGACCAGGGGCATTGGGGAATACTTTCGACAGTTGGCACTAGGTGGCAGTGTTGCTTCATGCACAGGAAGGTAAGCAAGCCACTGGGGAAATGTCAGATTTCTTGGAGGGGTGTCCTGAGCTGGTCTGTGGGTTTAATTTAATTGTCCTGTCCCAGAATGTTATTGGTAGGCATCCCTTGGGATCCGCTTCATATAAGGCTCTTCTTTCTTTCTTATTTTCTGAAATGACTTCCTTGGAGGTTTTGACTAACAGGTACTTTTGTCAACCAGTAAAGCAAACAAAACCAACCATCCAAGTGGTATTACCCGTCCCTCCTTTCCAATTGCCACATCCTTCCAAAGTAGGAAGTAGGACTCCAGAATGGATTACAAAAATATTTTTATGAGGGTCTACAACAAATTAGACATGGCTGCTAAGAGATTCTCAGAGTGGGAATGGACTAAAGGAAGGCTCGAAAGGTGCTTAGAGTAGGAATGAGGGTAAATTTTCCATAGTTCATCAGGTAAGCAAATATACCAAAGTTGGAGGGAGAATGATATGCAAGCATTCCACTCCAGTGTTTTCCACAAAAGTCACTAGCCAAGGGTCCAGCAATTCAGGGCTCTGTGGCTTCCTACAAGTAGCCTGAGGTCAGAAGCCCAGCTGTTTAGGCCACTGGAGCCAGGGAGTGGAATGAGCCAGATCCTGGCCTTTCTTGGTGTGACTTAAAGCTTAAAGAAGCTTCCGCATGTAATCCCCACACCATACTGTGCCTTCCCTCTGTCTCGACTTCCTTTCTTCTACTTCAACCCCAACATACACAAAAGGGGAAAAAAACATAATAGGTTCTTCTGTACCCATAATTGATTTCAAATGTTCCCTGAATTCTCCCAGCTGAGTAACCACCTGCAAATCCAAGCTACAGAAGACTGAGTCACTGAGTCACTAAACCTATGGTAGAGCTAGAGCCCGAGTCCAGGTTTTCTTCTTCCAACAAATATTTATCAAGCGTCCTGCCCTGTGAAGGGGGCAAGCCGCTGTGGGGAATACAAAGACGTCTAAGAGAGTGTCCTGCAGGACGGCGAGGTCTCCTCTGAAGACCCAAGCTTTATAGAGCATGTCCCCGGTGGAACTTGGGAGGCAGACTGACCTGGAATCACATCCTCTCTCCAAGATTTATCTGCACTACAGTCTTTGGCAATCTATGGAGCATCCTGAGCTTTGATTTCATCACATTGAAAAAAATGAGAAAGGAGACTTTTTTATAAATGTGTGGTTCAATTCAAATAAATTGAATATGTATATGTATATATATATATATATATATATATATATATATATATATAGAGAGAGAGAGAGAGAGAGAGAGAGAGAGAGAGAGAGAGAGATGGATGAAATGTCCTGAGAGCTATGATAATATTAAGTGAGTCACATGATTTATATGGTGCACAACACTGGGATTGACCCATAGGATTTGTTTCATTCCTTCATTTGTCCATTCATTCATTTGTTTATTTGCTTGCTTGCTTTTTACCAGTACGGCGGGGAAGCAGGGGATGGGGGGGCCTGGATGCTATCCCTAATTATTTTCACTCAAAGGTGGTACCCTACCGTTTGACCACCCTTCACTTCTGGCTTTTCTAGTTAATTTGGAGATGAGAGTCTCATGGACTTTCCCGTCTTGGCTGGCTTTGACCTTGATCCTCAGATCTCAGCCTCCTGAGTGGCTAGGATTTCAGGTACAAGCTACTGACACCTGGCTTCCTGTGGGATTTATTAATCATATAAAAGTTATTAAACAGTGTGAGGAATCCACACCAAGGACTGTTTCTTAAGCAGCACTTCTTTGGTGCTAACCTAATAATGTCTCATTTTTCCTTAGAGAAGATACTAACTTTAATCCCTTAGCAATTTAGTTTGCTAATTTGTCAAACTGGGAAGGTGATAAATAGGTTCATTCTTTCATGAGCCGGTCTCAAGATGAGAATACTAGAATACTAGAATCAGTTTCAAAAGGACTCAT